TCTGGCCGGCGTGGAGGCGCGCAGCGCCGACCTGGACCGTCTGCGCGCACGCCTTGTCGGCGCCGCGGGCGCCGCGGGCCCCGCCGACCGGCTCGTCGAGTTGACGACCGGACACGCCGCGCTGCAGCGCCGCCTGGCCGACATGTTGGCCGAGCTGGAGGTGCACCGTCGCCTTGTGGCCCGGTTGACCAGCGACTGGGACGTCTGCTCGCGCCAATTGACCGACCTGCGCAACGACGTCGAGGCCACGGAGACGGCCGAGTTGCCTGAGCCGGCTGCCCACCCCGTCGGTCTTGTCGGCTCACGGTTGCGCCGCCTGTCGTGTCTTTCGGGCCGGCTTGGCCGTCTCCAGACGGCCGAGGCGGATGCGCTGAGCAGCGCGCCGCGCTGCCACCCCGAGGCGAGTTTGGCCGAGAATCTCGTCAGTCTGCAGCAGGCGGCGCGAGCCGTAGACTCGTTCCAGCCGTCTTGGCTGCCGGCGGCGGCTGCGGCGCCGGAGACAGGCCGCCGCGAAGCGATTCGAGTCGCCGAGGCGCTGGCGGCGGAGGCTCGCCGCCTCGCAGACCGACTGACCGGCGAGCGCGCCAGACTGACTGGCCAGCTCGACTGCTGGCAGCGTTTGAACGAGACATTCGAGGCGGTCAATGCGTTTATCGACCGCCAAGAGGCGGCCTGGGCGGATCTGCTGGCCGAGTGGCGCGCGCAGCCGGAGACGGTAGCACAAGCTGGCGCGGAGACGGCTGCGGGGGTGGAGAGGGTCGGGACGAGCCGAGCTCGTCTGGACGAGCTGCTCCGATTGGAGGAGACGCGTGTGGATGCGGTGCGCGCGCTCGGCGAGAGGACGCGGAACGAGGGCGACCGGTTGCTGGGGGCGGCCGATGCGAGTATGGACGGGCCGGCGGCACAGGCCCGCGCCACTCAGTTGTCGGGGCGACTGCACCAACTCGTCGAGTCGATGCGTGTCGACGTGGCGGAGCGTCAAAGCGAGTTGGCCGGCTTGCGGCAGTTCGAGGAGCGCCTGGGCTCGCTCGAGGCCTGGTTGCTAAACGAGCCCGCACCGTGCGGAGAGGCCGCGGCAACGTGCGATGCCGAGACGGGCCAGTTGGCCCGTCGGTTGGCTGAGGTGGAGGCGCGCGAATCGGCGCTGCAGAGCCTCGGGCTGCCAGTCAAGTGCGCCGCCGAGGCGGCTGGCCAGCAGCTGCTGCATCGGCTCGCGCACTCCTCCGCCTCGAGGCGGGACGGTTCGGCGGCCAATCGCCGGCTCATCGTCTCCGCCGCCCTCGAGGGGGTGGAGCGCGTGTGGGCGGCGCGCGTGGACGCGCTGCACGCGGACCGCCAGCGACTTGCCGCCTGCCTCGCCAGTCTGGCCAGCCTGGACGATCAAGTGGCCGGCGCCGAGGCGTGGACGCGCGACGCGGCCAGACGCCTCGACGCCGTCGTGCGCGCGCCCGCCGATCTGGCCGTCTGTTCATCGGCGCTCTGGGGCGCCTCGAGGCTGGAGCGCCTGGAACACCTGCTGCAGCAGGTGGCCAGCTTCGCCGAGGACAGGCTCCGCTGCCTCCAATCGACCGTCGCGGCTGCATCAAGTCTGGCCGGCCGGCTCGACGGATCGCCGCACAGCGACGACTTTGTCCACCTGGCGGCCCGGCTGGCCTGCGTTTGCGACCGCCAGGCCGACGTGGAGGCGCGCTGTGCGCGTCTCCTCGCCGCGCAGCGCACAGCCACACGCCGGCACGCCGACTTTTCGCTGCGTCTGCGTCGCTTCGATCGATGGCGCCGGCGCACGCAGGCGCGCGTCAATGCCGAGTTTGCGCGCGCACTCGCGCGCGCCAATCCCAGACAGGACCGACCTAGTCTGGCCGGCCTGGCCGCCGGCCTGTCGGCCGCACAGCTGCACCTGCGGCGTCGCTTGGACGCCGCGAGTTGCCAGGCTGAGGCGCGCTTTGCGCGGCTGCGCCCTCCCGCCCAGGCGCTGCTGCAGGCCATGGCCGAAGCGCTGCCCCACCAGCTTGACGTCACCCTCGCCGGCCTCCTCGAACCGGCCACACGTTCGCGCGACGCACTCGCCTCGGCCGAGACGACCGAGCGACGTCGCCTCCACCACCTCGACGTCTACGCGCGCCGCTGGCTCGACTTTGCCGATGCGCACGACGCCTGTCTGGCTTGGCTGGACGCCGCCGAACTGCGATTGGTCGAGACGCGCCGACTAGACGTCGCCACCACCACCGCCCTCCTCGCCCAGCCCGGCAACGCGTGGCCGCACTCAATAACGCAACAACTCATTCGTTGCTGCCGCACTCGCCTGCACGACCATCAGACCGCCCACGCCGACTGCCTGGCCGGACAGCCCCGCCTCGATGCCCTCCTCCCCAAGGCTACAGCCCTCGTTCAACTCTCCCCGCACCCGAAAGCCACAGTCTTATCGATCGCTGACGCCGAGGCTGGCGACGAGGGTGACTGCGAAGCGGCCGGCGTCGGCGGCGCCGTGGTG